TTTCGGCCCTCCGGGGGGGCCTTTTTCCCTGGCCTCGCGGACGTAGGGGCCCACTGTGAAAAAGCTGAGCCGTGGCCGAGCAGCAGCGGAGGGGGGAAGATCAGAGGAGGACAAGGTACCCACACCGCTACCCTTCCCTGGTTTTCCCCTTTTTGGGTCTCCTGGGAAGGCCTCGTCGCCACCGCTGGATTCGCCTCGCAATTCTGCTCAGAACGCACCCTAGGAGAGGTCCAGGGGAGTAGCGGTACCAGTACCTTTTCGCATCCCCAGGAGAAATGAAGGGTCGGGGGTGGACAGAACCCCCACCCTGACACGTCGATTAGTGACCTGTCCGTTCTCGGTGCTCGAGGGGGTGCCGCGGCCGTCCTTTTACAGGCCTGCGCCCACCAGGTTTGGGCCCGAGGTCGTCTTCACTGGACCACGTTTTACCAAAGGGGGTTCTGTCCATCCCCGAAAGGGGCCCACTGCGAAGTCCACTGCGAAGCCCTGGGCAGAGCGCGTCTCGACACAAGGTCGGCGACCGGCGGGGGCAGCTTCGGGCTCGTGCCCCCCCCCCCCCCTGCAGGGAGAGCGGGCCTCGGGGAGGGGGCCGAGATCCGCGGGGCACTCTTACATCCCCAGGACGAGACCCTTTTCCTCTCGGGCCCGGAACGACGGCTTGAAATCTTGAGCAGGCTCACGTGAGATAACCGTCGTCGGATCCCGTGAAGTTCGCGCGGATCCAATTGTGGTTTTGGCGTCTGTTTCGGTGGATCCGAATTCCGTCCGCGCGGATCCGAGTTCGGATTTGTTGGATCCGTGTTCGGCCTTTTTTTATACGGCGGATCCGATTTTCATCCCGCTCTAAATTTATAGTATTAGATTTCAAACGGAGAACGGGAAGAAATCAGATCCGCGGACCCCGGAACCCGCCCGTGTTAAGATTCTACGGGGGAAGGGCGTTCGGCCATTAACTTCCAACTCATCCTCGCCATGTGCACCTCAAGAGGGAAATCTTTCGTCCTGCGTAAGTATTCATCTCCTCCTCCTCCTCTTCCTCCTCCTCCTCTTCCTCCTTCCTCCTTCCTCCTCCTCCTGCTCCTCCTCCTCCTCCTCCTCCTCCTCCTCCTCCTCCTCCTCCTCCTCCTCCTCCTCCCCCTCCTCCTCCTCCTCCTCCTCCTCCTCCTCCTCTTCCTCCTCCTCATCCTCTACCGTTCGTCTTACTCCTCCTCCGATGCGCCCGAGGACACGCAGGCTCAGTTCTGCCCCTCTGGCAGTCGGTGGGTCCCGCAAAAAGCACAAGCTAGGTCGAGGGGGGTAGGGTGAGTCGGGCCTGTCCCTCTACAGGACGATGAATCAAAAATAGTCTGAAAATAGTAAGGGGACGATCTTTGCAGCATTTGTTTAACAATGTTTGTAGATGATGTTACATTTTTCGCCCAAAATCCGCCTGTAGGAGAACACGCCCGACTTAAGGGTAGGGGGAGGGGGGGAAGGCTTCTTAGAAGCACCCCTGCTTCTTATAAGGCGCGGGCCTTATCTGTAGATGTGAGGCTTTCGCCTTCTAAGAAGCAGCCTCCTAAGAAGCCCTCCCCCTCCCCCTACTACCCCCTCGTGCGCGCCGCCAACCAGAGGCTACGTATTCACACCCGAACATTTTTGCTGAGGGCGTGCGCGGATCAAGCCGGACAGATCGAGACGAGGTGGGACGGCTGTGTAAGTCTGATGAGCCTACGTCGTTCCAGATATCAGAACGCTGGGGCTGGTCAGTCTCACACTCTCCCTGGGTGCGTGGCTGTAGTGGGCTTCCGCAGTTTCGGCCAGCTCGACCCGATTCGATACCGATTTGTCGTCGATCGCAGGTGGCCCGACGCTTGCATGACGTTGTTGTTCATCCTGGCGCAGCGGATTCGATTCGACTTCGACTCCTTGCCGATGCAGCCCGATGCGACGCACGTTCCGATCCGACCCGGCTTACCGATTCGGCGCCGCTTGATCCTTCCTTGTGCGACGCCGCCCGCCTTCTCTGTTGGCGGGCCGCTCCGCATCGCCCCCGCGACCCCTCTTCTGTCGTCGTGGTGAGCCACACAGGAGTGGACCCCCAAGGTCCTGGACCCCTCCGTGGGTGGTGTCTGCCGGGGGCTCAGGTGGGGGGAAGCCAGCCGTGGCGACGAGGAGCTGCGCGGAGTCCCGGTCGGGGTCGAAGAACGCCCAGGAACCTCGAGCCTCGATCTCTCCCCAGAGATACGGCGTGGCGAAACAAAACGCAGCTCCGTGAACCTTCCTGCCAGAGCCCCGGAGCCTCCCCCGTCTTTCTGCTCCCGGTCGCGAGCCAGATCGATCTCTGTGCGGGCCCCGGGGCCCGAACCCGAGCGACGTTTTGCTTGGCAGCGCGGCAGAGGCAGTCCGCGCGCGCGCCCGTGCGAGATCGGGACACGGCGACGCGAATCTGCGAAACCAATCGATCGAGCATGCCCGGCTGGAGAACACCGAGACGCCAGGAGCTCCGAGCCTCCGGTCGCTTCTCGCGCACGCCGCTGGCCCGCCGCCCTGCGCCTCCGGAGGAACCCGTCCTCCGCGCTGCTGTCGCGCATCCGCGACGCGAAGTTCGTGCCGTCGGGCGGTTCCTCCGCCATGGGCGTCACCCCGGGCATGGGGGCGGCCATGGGGGCCTCGATGGGCTCGATGGTGGGCCTGGGCGTAAACCCAAGCGGCCAGCGTTCGCCTCCTCCTCTTCCTCCTGCTCCTCCTCCTCCTTCTTCTCCCCCTCCTCCCACCCCCCTCCATCTGCTTCTCCTGCTCCCCCCCCAATGTCTTTATGAAGATTCTCTGGCAAGTTCACCTGCATGGCAGCTCCCCCTCCCCCCGTTCCCCGCCTTGTGCAGGCAGCGGTAGGCGGAAAAGGCGTGCACACGTGAGTCCCGACGTGCGTGAAGTCCAGGTTTCCTTTCGAGCCTCGCCGTGCTCCCCCCTCCATGCAAGTGAAACACTTGGACTTGAGTGAAATACCTCGTAGAGCTCTTCGTTAACGATGAGCTAGAGGAATTCCGGCGCGGGGTGGAGCTAGTTGGCCCACCCGGCCCTGGCGGACAATGTGGTGACCTGGCGTCGGTCTTTCGAAGATAGTGAGAGATTTGACCATTCGTTTCAAGAACCGGTATTTTTTTCACGTGTAGCGGGTGATGCCGCGTCTGCCTGTCGAATTCTCAGATCCGTAGCTATAAGATTACTGTCAAAAGACGTGGAGGAACCGACTTTGTATAACACCCAAAAAATTATTTTGCGAGTTTTCGCGCTGAGTTCCGAAGAAGCTCCCTTCTGATAATCTGAGCTTATTAGCACGCAAGGAGCTCTACGAGGGTCCCGGCGGTAACCTGGTTGACGGTTTACCGCCGGTTCCCAGCCAAGAGGCTGGAAAAATTGTCACTTTTGATTGGAAGGGGCTTTTGTTTTCGAGCCGTTTTATGTAGCACCCCACATTTGCGGATAAGAATGAGGGGGGCGGGCGCGGGGTTCGGTGGCGGAGTGGGTCGCGGGCAAGTCGCGGGGTGGGTCGCGGGTGGATTGCGGGTGGGTCGCGGGCGGGTCGAGGGTGGGTCGCAGGTGGGTCGCGCGCGGGTCGCGGGTGGTTGCGGGTGGTCGCGGGTGGGTCGCAGGTGGCTCGCGGCGGGTCGCGGGCGGTCGCGGGCGGGTCGGCGGGTCGCGAGGTGGGTCGCGGTGGGTCGCGTGGATTGCGGGTGTCGCGGTGGTCGCGGGTGGATCGCGGGTGGATCGCGGGTCGCGGGTGGGTTGCGGACGGGTCGCGGGCGGGTCGCGGGCCTGGTCGCGGGCGGGTCGCGGGTGGGTCGCGGGCGGGTCGCGGGTGGGTCGCGGGTGGGTCGCGGGTGGGTAATTGTTGGTCGCGTGCGGGTCGCAGGCCTGGCCGCGGGTTTGGTCGCGGGGTGGGTCGCGGGTGGGTCGCGTGCCTGGTCGCGGGGTGGGTCGCGGGCGGGTCGCGTGTGGGTTTCGGGTTGTTCGCGGGTGGGTCGCGGGGGGTCGCGGGTGGGTAATTGTTGGTCGCGTGCGGGTCGCAGGCCTGGTCGGTGGTTTGGTCGCGGGGCGGGTCGCGGGTGGATCGCGGGCGGGTCGCGGGTGGGTAATTGTTGGTCGCGTGCGGGTCGCAGGCCTGGTCGCGGGTTTGGTCGCGGGGTGGGTCGCGGGTGGGTCGTGGGCCTGGTCGCGGAGTGTGTCGCGGTTGGGTTTCGGTTTGGTCGCGGGTGGGTCGCGGGTGGCCTGCGGGTGGCTCGCGGGCGGGCCGACGACAGCAAACAACGAAACAAAATGGTAGGCAGCGTGGACCCCAAACAGTAGGTTCTTGCGGTCTATGCGGTGCAACTTACGTGGTGCAATGTATACGATGCAACCGATGTGATGCAATCTACGCTGTGCAAGCAATGCGGTGCAATGTATTTGGTGCTATCTACGCGGTGCAACCGATGTCATGCAATATATGTTGCGCAATATATATATATATATATATATATATATATATATTCCCACGTACACGCAACAGCCGATTTAATGCAATATATGCGGTGCAATCTATGTCGTGCAATTAATTTTTGTTCGCAGTGAGTTGTCCACTCCACTGCTCGCGCAAACATCCCACCCACCCACCCGCAACTTGGTTTGCAAAATCTCTTAAGACCGTGACGGTGGGTACCACATGGCACTTGGCAACAACAGCGACGCCGACGACGACAGCGACAACGACGATGACGACGCCGCCGACAACGACTACGACGACACCGACGACGTCTCCAACGACTTCGACGACGCCGACAACGACGACGACGACGACGACGACGACGACGACGACGACACCGACGACGACGACGACGACGACGACGACGACGACGACGATGACAACGACGACGACGATGACGACGCCGACGACGACGGTAACGACGACACCGACGACGACGACGACGTCAACGACGCCGACGACGACGACGACGACGGCGGCGACGACGACAACACCGACGACGATGACGACGAAGACGACAACGATGCCGACGCCGACGACGACGAAGACGACGACGACGTCGCCAACGAAGACAACGATGAAGGAGGGAGGACGACGACGGGGACAACAACGACAACGACGAGGGAGGAGGGAGGACGGCGACGACGCGAACGACGAAGAAGGAGGAAGGACGGCGACGCCGACGACGGCAACGACGAGGGAGAAGGGAAGACGACAACGACGACGACGACAACGACGACGACGACGACGACGGCTACGCAATAGGAGGGACGACGACGAGACGCCAACGACGGACGACGACGACGACGAGGAAGGAGGAGGAAGGACGACCACGGCGACAACGACGACGGAAACGACCACGACGCCAAAGAGGACGACGACGACGAACACGAGGAAAGACAGAGGACGACGTAGGCGACGACGACGACGACAACGACGCGGGAGGAGGGAGGACGGCGACGACGACGACGACGCAGCAAGAGCGCGCGCGTACGCTTTTGTTGAACATCCGTGTTGCGAAACCGTGTGTTTTTGTAGGTTGTTTGGACACACGATTTTGGAATCCTTCTGAAACCGATGGGTCTTGAAGGTTTTCGGCATACGCGCGCGACGACGCGCGCGTCTGCACTTCGTCCTATTTTTTGCAGGGGATTCTCGCGACGGCACACGCGCAAGGGCGTTCGACAGATTTCGACATGAGCGGGCGCGAAGCCCGTTTGGTAGCATTTTGTGAAAATCTTGAAGAACCGATTGTTTTCTGAAGATTTCGCAAGAGCTTTCGCGGAAGCTGCTTTAGCAACTCTGTGTTGCGATACCATGTGTTTTGTGTATGTTTTGTGGAAACTCGATTGCGAAATCATTCCCGCACCGAAGGTTTTTGAAGGATTCCGGCATGCGCGCGAGACGACGCGCGCGTGTGCACTTCGTCTCATTTTTTGCAATCGATTTGTGAGAAAGTGTTATGTTAGGAGAAATGTCACCGCATAGTGTTTTTAACAAGGGAACCTCAGGGGGGGAACCGGCCCAGCTGGGATTGTATGATTTCATATGTAGGATGGACGAGTATGCAGATTATATATATATGTATGAAATCATACTATCCCAGGGGGAACCGGTAAGTCTGGGGGGGGGGTAGGGTCGATTCTCTTGTTAGAAAAGGAGAATCAATCACTTGCTCAATTTGAAGCTGTCCTCTCCACTGCTCGTGCAAACATCCCACCCTCCCACCTGCAACTTGGTTTGCAAAACCTCTTAAGACCGTGACGGTGGGTACCACATGGCCCTTGGCAACGACGCCGACGACGACAGCGACAACGACGACGACGACGCCGCCGACAATGACTACGACGACACCGACGACGTCTCCAACGACTTCGACGACGCCGACGACGACGACGACGACACCGACGACGACGACGACGTCGACGCCGACGCCGACGACGACGATGACAACGACGACGACGACGACGCCGACGACGACGACGCCGACGACGACGACGCCGACGACGACGACGGCGACGCCGTCGCTGACAACGACGATGACAACGCCGACGACAACCACGACGCCGACGACGACGACGACGACAACGACATCGACAGCGACAACGATCACGACGACGACGCCGCCGACAACGACTACGACGACACCGACGACGTCTCCAACGACTTCGACGACGACGACGATGACGACAACACCGACGACGATGACGACGACGACGCCGTCGCTGACGACGACGACGATGACAACGCCGACGACGACCACGACGCCGCCGACGACGACGACGACGACGACGGGGGAGGAGGGAGGACGACGACGGCAACGACGACAACGTCGAGGGAGGAGGGAGGACGGCGACGACGCCAACGACTAAGAAGGAGGGAGGACGGCGACGGCGACGACGACAACGACGAGGGATGAGGGAAGACGACGACGACAACGACGGCGACGAAATAGCAGGGACAACGACGAAACGCCGACGAAGACGACGAGGGAGGAAGGACGACCACGGCGACAACAACGACTGAAACGACGACGACGCCAGGACGACGACGACGACGACGAGGAAAGACAGAGGACGACGACGGCGACGACGACGACGACGAGGGAGGAGGGAGGACGGCGACGACGACGACGACGACGCAAGAGCACGCGCGCACGCTTTTGTTGAAAATCCGTGTTGCGAGACCCTGTGTTATTGTATGTTTTTGGACGCACGGTTTTGAAATCTTTCTGAAACCGGAGGTTTTTGAAGGATTTCGGCATGCGCGCGCGACGACGCGCACGTGCGCACTTCGTCCCGTTTTTTGCTGAGGATTCTCGCGACGGCACGCGCGCAAGGGCGTTCGAAAGATTTCGACATGCGCGCGCCCGAATTCCATTCGGTAGTATAAATAGGGAATATTGAAACATATGGTTTTGGTAAGATTCCGCAAGGCGCGCGCAGAAGTTGTTTAGCAAATCAGTGTTGCGAAACCCTGTGATTTTTGTATATTGTTTGGAAACTCGATTTTGAAATCCGTCCGAAACCTGATGTTTTTGAAGGAGTTCGGCATGCGCGCGCGACGACGCGCGTATGCACTTCGTCACATATTATGCAAGGGATCTTTGAACACTTGCGATTTTTGATACACGAGAGTGCGCACATAGTATCTTTTGCACAGG